ACACACACTTATACACAGTACACATACATATATTATGTAAACAAAAACTTGTATTTATTTCTGTGACAACTTTCTGTGCCAGCATCCCAGTACATCCCTAAGTTCTTACAGTGAAAGTGTGTTTTGTACTTCCTGGCACACACAGGAAGTCAGGTGCATCTTTAAAGGATGAAGCAGCACAAGCCCTGCTGCTCGTGGGAACGGTGGAGGAGATTCTGGACTGAATCATGAATCTTTGAGATTCTCTCCAGGATCTCGGCGATGGGAAATGTTTTGTTTAGTTTCGTTTACCAGCACAGACCTGATAAACCCGGCTGTCTCAGACCCGCGGCTCATCAGAGCAGACGAGGAGTGTGAAAACACAAAATGTGTCCACACTCGCTTCGATTGTTTGCTCCAAACCCAAGTTCGATCCTCCCGCAGGTCTTGTTGGCGTGTTTGTGGCGTATTGATGTTCCTCAAACATTCTGCTTCGGGTTTGTTCTCATCAGTTCAGTCTCAGGTGTGCGCTCTGCTCTTTGTTTTTCTACTTTATGCTTTTTAAGAAAGAGTTGAGCACAGTTTTCCCCTGTCTTCATGTTTTTCTAATTGAAACGGGATGTTTGAATCTAGTTCCGTTGCTTGCTAGTGATTGGCAGTTGGTTTTAGGGGCGGGGCATTCTCATTCTAGAGAGCGTCTGATTGGACAGAAATCTGTTTTGTTCAGGTTGCAGCATCAATATCTGCTGTCTGTCTTCCCATAAGAAAAATACTATACATTATACGTGTATATCAGCTTGAAAGAAAAATGCATTTTGCCAGTGTTGAGAACAAGATTGTGCACCATTCAGAATTCAATTCAGAATGCCTTTTAAATTCCAATTAAAATTCAAGGATTTGAGTTAAATATGAATTGAGGAAGCAACCAGGATGCGGAGTTGTGGTTTGAATTTGAATTTAAAGAAGTAGAATTAAAATCAATTCAAATTAGTGTTATTTTTTTAACTAGAAAATGTCAAGATAAATCTTGTCAAGTCGTTTTTGAAAGATTTGAAATTAAAAAGTAAAAACATCCTGGAAGTTTAAAGGTTTATATGCCTTACGGACAGATAGAATGATAAATAGATTTTTTTTGAAAGAAATTAATACTTTTATTCATAAAGGGCACATAAATTGATCAAAAGTGACAGTAAAGACATTTATAATGTCAAAACATTTCTATTTCAAATAAATGCTGTTCTTTTGACGGCTACCACAGAAATATTGGGCAGCACAACTGTTTTTAACATGGATACTAATCAGAAATATTTCTTGAGCAGCAAATCAGCATATTATACTGATTTCTGAAGATCATGTGACACTGAAGACTGGAGTAATGATGCTGAAAATACAGCTGCGCATCACAGGAATAAATTACATTATAAAATATATTCACATAGAAAACAGCAATTTTAAATCATAATCATATTTAACAAATTTTACAGTATTTTTGATCAAATAAATGCAGCCTTGGTGAGCAGAAGAAACTTCTTTCATTAAAACATTAAAAATGTGAATTATTCCAAACTTTTGATCGTTACTCTAGATGATCTTAAAGCTAATAGACAATCAACTAAAAACATCTGAAAGGTTGGCAGCATGATTGTGAAATATGTATTACAAATCAGCAATTTCAGTTAAGATAACTGACTGTGGAGGCAGTAGACGGCTCATTAGGGTTTATAACAGAGCCAGTGTCACCTACAGTATATAGAATACTGTGTGTGTGTGTGTGTGTGTGTGTGTGTGTCTCTGACTCTATGGGCCGTTGATGGGAGGCAAGCAGTGGCCCCTGGGAACGGTTGCCATGGTGACGGTTGCTGGTCAGTGTAATGTTACCGTGGCAGCAGTGACCTCAGCAGGGTACAGGACTGCAGGGGTCAGTGAAAGCGATCCGTCACACACACACACACACACACAGTTATCGAGTGTGTAACGCCACGACTGTCTTGTGGCATTTCAGTCTTTGCTCTTTCCTTGAGATGATCTTTTACAATGAGATGTTCAGAAACATCCATATGTTTATATCAGCGCTGATCAATACATCATCAGTCCTAATTAGTGCTGTTCACTGTTACTGTTCCTCATAGCTAGGTTTACTAACACTGAGTATCAAAATTAAGCATGTAACTCGTCCTCGATTCCTCAAATCATGTGTTTTGTTGAAGACACAACATTTATATTTAATGAATTTAATTATGAATTTAGTAATAAACTTATGGTTTCCACTTTGCAAATGGTAAATTGAGGGAAAAGTATTACATTAAATGAAAATCTAGTCAATAATTACATTTTGTTTTTAGTTCCTGCATGCAAACCAGAAAATGGAAACAGATCAAATGATGCAGATAAAAATGTACACTTGATTTTACATTGTAATTTAAACAAATTAAATCACAAGTGTCTGGCATTTTGTCTTACATCACTGGATATTTTTCGGCAATATTAGCAGATATTTAGATATTTTGGAGATTTTTTTGTGCACTTGTTAATTGTTTTTTTTTTTTCGTATTCTGGATAATTTTTTTTAATGTTTTTGAAAATTTTTGTGAACTTGTTAAATGCCTTTGCAGGTAATATTGCTTCTTTTGGGAAAATACTATAATTAATTTGATATAATGACATTAAATGTGAATTTAATTACACATGTAGTAATGAATTCATGGTTTTCACTTTGCAAATTATTGCATAATGTAATGGAGGAGAAAGTGTTACATTAAAGGCAAATCTAGTCAATAATTATATATTTTTTGCATGCAAATCAGAGAATTGAAATCATCTGGTGCAAATAAAAATATACACTAGATTTTACATCACATTTTGAACAAATTAAATCACAATATTTGTCTTAAAACACTGAAGATCTTTTTGGGAATGTTTTATATATAATATTCCTCATTAAATATAAAGTTCTCATGCTGTCAGTTCCCACAGAAATTAATTTTGATTTATTCCCTGGTTTCTAAATATGTGGGTAGTTTCTCTCACACAGCGTTTCTCTGTGAGTCAAGCGTTCAATGGCACATTTTACTCTTCATATTTCTGAATCATAAACGCAGACTCATTTAGATGTGTGCGTCGCGTCAGCAGCAGCGCTGGAACGAGTATCAACGGCTTTTGATTTGCAGTCAGACTGAAAGGTTTTTAAGCGAATCTGTGCCTCTATTCCAGTTAAAGGTCAGCTCTCGCTCTCACAGAAACAGCACAGATGCATGCTGGGCATTAGCTGCTCTGGAAATGAATAAATGACCTTTTCCTGTTCACAAAAACATGCGGAATAAACCAGAAAAACCACACACACGCAATGAAAGCCAGACAGGTGCATTCTGGGGGTTTTGTCATGGGTTCAATGTTATATTTAGCACAATTACCTCAAAAACGTGTTTTCAACATTGATAATAATCAGAAATGTTTGTTGAGCAGCAAATCAGCATATTACACTGATTTCTGAAGATCATGTGACACTGAAGACTGGAGTAATGATGCTGAAAATTCAGCTGCGCATCACAGAAATAAATTACAGTTTAACAGATATTCACATAGAAAAGAGGTATTTAAAAATTGTAATAATATTTCACAATTTTGCTGTTTTTACTGTATTTTTTTTTTATTGTTTTCATTTTAGTTTCCAGGCTGCAGAGGGGACTAGACTTCATGCTTGACAGTGTGTGTGTGTGTGTGTGTGTGTGTGTGTGTGTGTGTGCTGCTGTCCTTTTTTCCTCATCTTTTGCGTTCTCTCACCCTCCCTCCATCACTTGTAACTTTTAGGAGTTCTTGTTGCAGAAACTATTCCGAAACCTTTGACATCACAATCATTAATATTTGATTTTGTAAAATTAATTAATTAATTTTAGTTTTTCTTTATTTGTTGTTTAACTTTTTTAATTTTATGTATTTTTAATTATTATTTTATTTTATTGGATATTTTATTTAAAATATATTTTATTTTATTTTTCCTTTGTTTTATTTTTGCTGTCCTCTTCCTTTGGTTGTTTATTTTATTATTTTTCTTTTGTATTCTTTTACTTTTTATTTATTTTCTTGTATTTCTATTATATTTTAACTTTTTATTTTATTTTATTTTATTTTATTTTTTATTCATTTTATATCATAACATTTTATTTTATTGTATTGTATGTTGTGTTTTTATTTTATTGAAATTCTTAAATATATTTTATTGTATGTTGTGTTTTTATTTGATTTTAGTTATTATATTTATTTTTCTCTTTATTTTTCTTTTGTTTTATTTGTGCTGTTTTCTTCCTTTGTTTTTTTTTTTGTATTTTTCTTTTACCTTTTTATTTTCTTATTTCTTTGAGATTTTAACTATTATATTATATTTGTTTAATTTTTCTTTGAATTTGTCTTTCAAACTATTTAATTTTAATAGGATTTTTTTATTGTACTATTTATTTTTATTTTTTTTCCTTTTCATTGTCGTTTGTTTAATTTGTGTTATTCTCTTCCTTTGGTTGTTTACTTATATATATTCTTTTTTTATTATTTTTATATAATTAACTTTATACTATTTTTTTTTTCGTTTCTTTGAATATTTATTTGAATTTATTTTTAATTGTTTTTATTTTACTCTTTATTTTATTAATTAATTTATTATTTTATTTTTTATTGTAGTTTATTTTATTTGTTCCTTCCTTGGCTTGTTCTATCTATTAATTCACACGCCTCCTCTTTCTCTTCCTCACCTTCGCTCCTCAAGCTTAGCTCCCCTGTTAGGATGTTGAGGGCTGGGATTTACCCTTCCCAGCATCCCCTGGGGTGATGAGCGGTGGGAGGGACGGATGAGCGGGTGATTAAACCAGGCCTCGGGCGGTTCTTCCGTGAGAGAACGCTCTGGCCTGCGGATGTGCCTCTATAATCCCACACAGCTCGCGCACACACACCCTGAGGCTGAATGCCATCCACACACACACACACACACACACACACACACACACACACACTCACACTCACACTCACACTCACGCTAAAACCCCTCCAGACCAGCCGTTTATCTTCAAGGAATATTCTGGGTTATTTACAACTTAAGCTCTATCGACAGCATCCGTGACGAGCTGTCAGTTCCCTTCAGAAGAGTTCAGTCTCTGGCCTCACACTGTAAAAACACAAAACATTCTTATTCTTAATGCATCGCTGCATTATGCTCATTCTTAATGCAGTATTTCTTAATGCATAATGCATTATGATCATTTACGAGATGATAAACTAATGCCTTTTGGTGTTACTGGCAGTGAATCTGTATGTGCGAGAACTAGGGATGTAACGATTAACCGCGAGCCGGTTGAAAATCGATTTAAAGAACGAATGAGATTTGAGATCTGCAACTAAAATTGCAGGATATTCCTCAGATAAAGCTGTCATATGACCTCATAAGGTTTGGAATATAATGCATAGGACCGGTTTTATTTTTGTCTTTTTTGAAGCTTGACAGATCTAGTCACCATTCCTTTTCATTATATGGCAATATATCTATATTACATAATATAATAATTCTTATATATATTTCAAATTCGTTATATATTCTGTTTTCACTTTGATTTTAGTTGAAGTTGTAATAATTTTGTTAAAATATTATAAAAAACAATAAAAAAATATTTTTAATGTGTATATAATTTTTTTTTATGACTTTTTCAGTTTTATATTACATTTTGTTTTATTCATTTTTTTTTTGTAATTTATTTTCAATTAGGATTATATCTGTTTTACTATTTTTATTATTATTAAATATTATTATACTTTTTTTTTTTTTTACTGTACTTTTATTATTATTAAAAATATTAAATGTTATTATTTTGATTATTATTATTATTATTATTTGAGTACTTCAACTTGAAAATGAGAAATGTTGCCTTGGCAACTAGCTGAAATAAAATAGGTTTTTATTTATATTTTATTTCAGTTAACATTTATTTCAGCTAATGAAATGTTAGTTTTAGTTAACAGTAATAATCCTGGTGTGAAGATTTATTAAAATTTGCTTTGCATGGAAGTTTTTGTTTTATTTTGTTTTGTTTTATTACATTTATTTATTTGCATTTTATATTTTTAGTTCTGCATTCTCTAGTATATAATTTAAGTGTGCAAATACAATACTCTAATAAGCATAAAAATTCACAGCACATATATTTATGATAAAATGAAACATTTTAAATGGTTGCTATTTGGATACGTATGTGTTTTAATTTTTTTTGTTTATTTTTCATTTTTAGATACATTTAAAAACCTAATTTATTTTTATGATCTGAAATGAATGATGAACATTTTAAAGAGGCTCAGAAAGCATCCCAGCACAAGCCTGAATCATGTATTGTCTCAGATAAAGAGAGAAACCGGTCTCTCACTCCATTGTGTTTTCGGTGTCCTTTTGTTCCTGTAATGTTGACACGCTGGTCGTCATAATGTGGTCGGTGTGTGGCGTGTGAATGAAATCACAGTCAGGTCATGCTGAGAAGCTGTGTTGAATCTGAGAGCGGTCCCCTGTGAGCACACAAAGGGTGGAGGCAGAGGGAGGATGGATGGATGGTGTTAACAAGGCCGGCTGGAAGCAGTGTGTCATGCTTGACACGGCCGTTTGACCTTGCTGGAGGCCGATCTCACCCAACCGACACAGCATCTCTGAATTATGAGCTGCTCTGTGTGTGTGTGTGTGTGTGTGTGTGTGTGTGTGTGTGTGTGTGGGGACGTGGG